CATGGGCTGATAAACCAAGGATCCACATGTTACTTGAACAGTGTGCTGCAGGTGCTGTTCATGACCAAAGACTTCAGAGAGGCTGTGAAAAAGTTTGTTGTCCAGCTTTAAGTGTGATTCTGTATTTATCATATATGAAGTTTACGGTGCATTTTTAATCACTCATGTTTACTTCCTGTGTAGGTACTCTGGAGATAATCCCCACTCTGAATTCCTTGATCATGATTTGAAAGCCTTATTTGATGACTTACAGAACTATACAGCATACACATATAAAATAACAAACAAGCTTGGCATCGACAACGGTACAGAACAACAACACCTTTTTAACACTGTAAACTCCTGAGCACTGTATGACTTTAAAACAATTTAAAATAATACATAATTTAAAATAATTATTAAAATATTATAACAATGGAAAATTGTAGGGCAAAATTACAAAATGACTTATTTAAAAAAATAATAATAATATGCATTTATCACAGTGTATGAACAGCGTGATGCTGCAGAGTACTTTGAGAGGATTTTAAGAAAGACCAGTCCTGATGCATCAAAGGTAAGGTCTTCATCGATGCTAAAGGATATCTATACACTGGATCAAAATATTCCTTTTTAATTGTGGAGTCTTTGCCTTAGAGTATAAAATGCTTTGGACTGCTTTTGTTGTGAACAAATGCTTTCTAATTATAACTGAAAGAAAATGAACAGGTTTTTGTGTATCTGTATTTTCAGATCTTCCACGGTCAGTTAGTAAACAAGACCACCTGCTCTAAAGGTCATATACAGACTGACAGAGATGCACCATTTTGGCATCTTCCTCTTTCACTGGTGGATTGTTGCAGTAAAGACTACAGTGTGGTAAGGATCTGACAAGTTGCAAACTTCTCAGCATGTTTCTGTCTGCTAGGACATGACAGCTGTGAAGAAACATTTTGAACTTACATGCTTTTGCCAGTAAAATATATATAATATTTTTTATATTTCCCCCAGTAAATGATGACTGTTTTATTAAATCCACAGCATAAAGTTTAACATTTAGCTTTGCTTAAGTGGATTCTGTGCAGCGCTTTGTCCTACCAGAAGTCTGAAGCTGTACTTCCAACTTAGTCTCCCACTGTTGTTTGATGTTAATGAGTGGAAAGGAATCACAATGAAGGATATAGGTATATAATCATGAATGTCCACTCTTTTGAGATTTCTGGTTTGTCTAAAGTATCTGATTATTTAGCAGGAAAATGTACAGCAATGATCTCTGAAAAAAACTGTAAAAGCTGTAATTCTGATACAGGTCATACAAATAAAAAAAAAAAAGAAAATAATTAAACCTAAAAGTCTGCAGTTTAGTCACATATTGACTGATTTACACTCCACTGTGGTGGTGTACAGAGCTGAAACTTCAAAAAAAAAAAAACCCACTCCAGTGGTAATTTTACTTTATGGCTTTTCTTTTCACTTTTCTCTTAAACAATACATCTTAACCTTTGAGTCTGAATTAATGAAGTTAGCAGGCCATGTTGAAAATCTTCCTCCTTGACGAAAGATTCTTAGCTTCACTTCACTGGTCAGCACATCTTTGTCAGAGCTAATTTTAAATAACATTTTTCAGGTGAAGGGCATTGAAGAGTTTTTTAAACCTTCAGATTTCTGTGGAGAAAATCAGATGTACTGTGAGCAGTGTGATGACAAAGCTGATGCTACTATGGTGAGTTAAAAATGTTTATGATTCTTTTATTATTCTTTAAATAAAATTATGAAAACATATTGACTTGTAATGGAAGCAGACAAGCTCCTTGAGGTGACTGTTGTTGTGATTTGGTGCTGTATCAGTAAAACTGTCCTAAATTAAATGTTTTTTCATTCAGACAGATGTAATAAAGCATCATCCAGATGTTTTGTGTCTGCTGCTGAAGAGGTTTGAGTTCAACTATAATTACATGTCATACTTCAAAATCACCTGTTCTGTGGAGGTTCCCTACACCCTTCAGATACTAGAGGTAAATGTACAGAATATTTTAGTATTTAATCATGATCCATTTTATTTTCTTCAGTCATCCTGATGTTTGCCATTTTTCCTTTGGTAATCAGAGTCCAAAATATGAACTATATGCGTTTCTGGATCATTTTGGGGATCTGAGAGGTGGACATTACTCTGCCACAATCAAGATCCAGGAGGAACACAGAGACAGATGGTATCAGTTTGATGATACCAGAGTCACAGAGGTAAGATAGATCACTTATACATTTTTGATACCAAAATACGTTCCTACATTACTCATGTGTTACAGTGGCCAAGCTGATCATTCATGTCATACTTTATTATTTTTTACATCATCAGCTTGATTTTCAGCCATTCCAGCTGGATAACACTGAGAAGTAAGTTTTCGTGCTTGTTATTTCCACTGTACATTATTTTCCAATTATTTCTTAACTTTTCACATGAGTATGCACTAAACATGCGTTAAATACACTTTTCTCAATTATAGTGTGCTACATGTTGAAGTATCATATCACACTGTGCTATAATCACAACTGCAGATTTTTTCTGTGATTGATTCAACTCTGTCAAATGTAAACATACACAGACAGATATTAATATGTCAGAAAAAACTGCTGCAAAAAATAAATATGTTATAAAATATTATCCAAACACATCACTGCGAAACTGTGAAAGTAACATATTTGTTACATGTCATATTTGTCAATTAGGTCCCAGACTACATATCTTCTGTTTTATAGCAAAAAGAAAGGTAAGAGAAAATATTTTTGTTGTCGTTTCCTCAGCTGTTTGGTGCCTGAATGATTTTGTTTCTACTTTGTGCTTCATACTGCAGATACTGGTACTCCAGAGTCCACAGATGTGTCCACCAGTGGACCACCCACCATCAGTAATGAATATGATCAGAGTCAAGATGCGAAAAATAAGAGCAATAGAAAGAGAAAAGAGGAGAAGACAGACACAGCGGATAATCCAAAGACTGCTCGCTTAAGAGAAGCAGGGGGATCACCTGACACCCCCTGTAACGTAGATCCTCTGGACAAAGAACCAAATGAGGACAAAGGAACCACTGGAAGTGATGACCTGGATCAAAAAAATACAGAAGCAGACGATTTTAAAAAGAGCAGACTAGATATTAATCCTGATTTTAAACTCGATATCAGTGATCGATCAGCAGTCTGTGATGATCTAAGCAGACAGTATGAGATGAGTAAATTAATGGATGATAAAGCAGATAACGATGAAAAGGCTAAAAATAAACAGTCAGAGAAAAAAAGCCATGCAGAGCATCCAGCTGACACTGTTGGAGAGAACATATGTGAACATCAGGAGAATAAACAAATCTGTAGTCCTTCTCATGCTGAGGAGAAAACAAAAACAGATTTTCAACATGACACAAAAGGAAAGATTAGTGCTGATAAACCAACAGCAGAGATGTGCTGTGACACATTTCAGGATAAAGAAAAAGCGGATGATAGAAAAGAAAACATACTACAAGATGATCAGAGCCTTAAACAGAGAAGCAGACACAGTGATACACTGAACATGCAGGAGATCAGTGTTACACATTCAAGTGATAATGATGTTTGTGTAGAGAAAGAAATCAGAAATGTGAAGGAGGACAGGAGAGAAAGAAAAGGAGACGAAAAAGGTGACCACAGTAAGTTTGAACAAAACACAGTAGGGGAGGTAACTGGTGCTGCTACAACACAGAAAGATGTTGATGTGGAGAAAAAGAAAGAATATAAAGGAAATACTAAACAAATTCAGATCAGCGAGAAACCCCATCTGAGACCAGCAGAAGCAGAAATAATAGAAGCACCCAAAGAAAACCAGGATGATGCTACTAATGAAAAAACTAAAGCAGAGAGTTTTCAACTAAAAACCGGACCAAAAATTCAGGGAGTCACAGAAGGAGGACATGGTTCACAGAAGTCAGGAAAAGTTCAAATAACTTATGAAGAAAAAAGGCAGTATTCTCATGGTGAATGTTTTGGGACAAAGATGAAGAACATGGGAATAGAAAGTGTAGGGAAACCCTCACAGGGCAGCTCTGAGAGATGTGTCAAAAATAATGAAGGAATCACTGAAAAGAAATCTCAGACAACAAATGCAGCCAAGCCCAGAAGAGTAAAACTGAATGATGCAAGTCTGCCAGAGCAGCAGAAAAGAAGAATCAAAAGAGAAGAACGAAAACACCATGACACAAACTATCCAATATACACCAAAACTGATGTAGATGATGTAGAAATAGAAGCTGCTAAATCAAGTGGGTTGTGTTCATGTTTGGATGATGCTACTAATGAAAAAACTAAAGCAGAGAGTTTTCAACTAAAAACCAGACCAAAAATTCAGGGAGTCACAGAAGGAGGACATGGTTCACAGAAGTCAGGAAAAGTTATAACAAATACTAACAAACAAATAACTTGTGAAGAAAATAGGCAGAATTCTCACGGTGAATGTTTTGGGACAAAGATGAAGAACACGGGAATAGAAAGTGTAGGGAAACCCTCACAGGACAGCTCTGCTAGACATGTCAAATATAAGGAAGGACACACTGAAAATAAATCTCAGACAAAAAGTGCAGCCAAGCCCAGAGAAGAAGAAAAACAACATGGCTCAAACCATACAAAATACGCCAAAGTTTCACAAGTGGAACCAGAAATAGAAGCTGCTAAATCAAGTGCAGACAATGAGCCAGTTGGGTGGTGTTCATGGTTTGTCACTGTGGCACAGTGTTGTTTTTGTCGCTCCTCTCCTGCAGGGAGAGACACACCTGAGCTGATTAGGTCTCCTATATAAAGGATGTGCCGGGACCTGAGGTGGGGTTTTAATTATTATTATTATATATGAACTGAAGTGGTTTGGCACCTTGGGGTATGTTGTCTTTGTTACCGGCAACATGCAGGAGGTCTTCCACAGAATGGGGACCCTCTCCAGACCGAGACTGATGTTAAAGATGTATCTGATAACCTTACAGAGTTGATCTCCCTCGATAGTCTGTAGCTGATTCCATCTGGACCATTCTGGAAGATTCCAACCATTTTTTTCTTTTATTATTTTTTATTATTATTATTGTATGACTTTTGCTGGTTTTTATTGTTCTTTTTTGTTCTTAGTCATCATTCATGTTTGAGCTTTATTCTATAGAATCTAGTTAATTTCATAGCTATCAGATAACCTGGTCAGGAGCAGGTTGTGTTCAGAGTTTCAGTTTGAAATTGACTTGAAACATCACATTTTCACTGATTGTAAACCTGCTGAGTTAATAAAAATTATTTCACTTTTCAGTTTTCTTTTACTAAAAGGTTTTTTTCTCTAACATGCAGACATTTTTGACCATTAAACCTTTTTAACTACAACTAAAAATAACATTTTCTTGAGCAGCCTGAAGTTTTAGCTACTTATTCTTGGGTTAGCTTAGTTTCATTTTGGGCTTCACTCAGTTTCTTTTGACAACAACATACTAGTATCTAGTATTCATCTGACCAGTGAGTGTTTATCAGCTGATCCCTGTAATATGCGTCTCATTTATAGTAAATATTCATATCCTGTGGTAGGCAATTTAAAGCTTTTATCCAGAGCTGTTCTACATATTAATTGTACACAGACTCTGAATATATTAAAAGGTAATGCAAACCTGTCAAAATGCACCATCTGACTTGTTGTAAGTACCCTGGAGAAACTGAAAGTTCAATGGGCTGCTTAATCTTGGTGCGTTAAATGAGTAGATAAAGTTATACCCTCGGTTCTAATTTCACTTAGTGTACCAGTTAAGCCAACTAAAGCAGTTATGTGCACTTGTTATGCTGGTGTTAGGTATATCAGAAAAATGCTCACATATATTCAGTGTTTTGGTATTTCCTTATATTTGTCACATGTAGACTGTTTGTGATGCAATATCAAACTCCGTGTCCTTTGTTTTTGTTTTGTGCAGCCGGTGAGGAGACACTCTAGTAGCAGAGGTGTCATGTGGTCGTAGTGCCACAGTCTGCTTGATCAAGTTTCTTTCTTTCTTCATTTGTTCCTTCCTTTTTCTCTGACTTTCCAAAATGTGGCTAATACTTACATTTCTAGGATTAAATTACAGAGCATGATAACGCTGAACTTAAAAAAAGTACTCACCTGGCTTCATGGGACTTTGTAAGATGAAGCTCTTTGTTGCCAGGCCTTCTACTTTATTGTTTTGGTTTATTTTCACTACCCTCATATTTTTAAGAGTTGTTTGCTGTTTTTAAACCATTTGCTCCCTGCAAGACCAGTAGAAATTTAACTGCCCCGCTTTAAGTGAAATGATGGAAAAGTGTGGTGCAGTGGTCCTCAGGCTGGCAGTACTGTCAGTTGAAGAGATGGCCTACTTTGAAGAGAAGATTGTAATTTTATTTTTAAGCAGATCAGACTGATTATACCCAATCAAGTTTCTAACAAAGTGGGAACAAAATGTGCACAATTTATAGAATATTATACGAGAATTATTTGCAAAACTTTGCAAATAACACCACATTTAGGTGAAAAATCTGCTGAGTTTAGAAATCTGCACAGCAGACAACAACAAACTGTACAACTTCTGCTGCCAATGATCGACGTCATGGAATGGTGCTCCACGCTCAGACCACTCAAACCACGAAGTTCTCAACAACTGCAAGACTACTGATCTCCCTCAGGTTCGAGGAGCTGACGCCTGTCCCTCCATCCGTGACTGTCCCACCTGTGGTCAGTTTAGCCTCCAAAGTTTTCAAAGTATCATTTTCAAATTACGTGTGATGATAGAAAAGACCAATAACAGCTTGAGCTGAATTAATTCTGGTGAAAATCGGGTCAAAATCACAGCAAATGTGACAACTTTGTATTAACTTCATGTTTTTATGGATCGTCTTCAAACTACCTACAAAGTACCCAGGTTGACTAATCATATGACCTCAACCTTCACTGTTAGTACCCAACATCAAAACTGAGACATAATAAAACATTAATGTTTAATTATACCTCTTCCAGTTTGGGAGGAGTTGCTTTCTCTGAAAGCTGTTGTTTAAACTAGTTTCTACACCGTTCATTAAACTTTACTATTTCTAGTAATTACCACGCGGTGACTTTGTCTTTTTTCTTCTTCCCTTCAGGCAGGTGGACGTCTGGTTAACCAGCGTGTCATTCTGGTCAATTAAGTTGCAGATTGTAAAACACTTCAAGATGAGCTATACTTATATAAAGTACAATAATAAAATGCTGTTTAATTATGTATTTTGCTTTTATATATGTCCCTTTATTTTGTTTAAGGCACATTTCTAATACAGAACTTTACTAATCTTTGTGCTGGACCGGAACTGGTAAGTGTTACATAAAGCAGTTTCACCCCAGTTCTTTTTTATTCCTCAGGCCTCCAGAGACTACACCGGACTCAGTAGTCATTTCACAAAACCTTTATTCTTCTTCAGTTGCGCATGCACCTTCCAGAAGGGAAGACATGCAAGGCCGGTGTCCCTCTGCAGATCTTCACTTCTTTGTCTGTTTCAACCAGTTTTATAGAAGCCACCCCATCATAAAACCCACATGGTGTGTTGTAAACTCTGTGTTTGTGTATGTATGTGCAACAACGAGAGTGGCTGTGTGTGCACGTGTAGGTACCCCTGCGTATGTGATTCCCTGCCGGTCATAAAAGTCCCCAGGTATCCCCTGGGGAATTTCCACTCAGCTATAACTTCTCTTTCTCTTACTTTCCCAACTCAAGGTGGGGGAGGGTCTCCTATAAGTCTACTCCTAATTTTATGACATGTTCAGGCCTATAGCTAAACCAAACTGAAGCACACACTTTCGCAGATCCTTTCCTATTCCTCTAATCTACAGGTGGATCCTCTCATCTAAGCAAATTTAACACATTATATTTTAATTATGTTTTCTTTTACTCACATAAGGATAGAATAGAATAGAATAGAATAGAATAGAATAGAATAGAATAGAATAGAATAGAATAATCCTTTAATTGTCCCACAAAGGGAAATTTGGGTAAAAGCAGCTTCAGGCCTGTAAAGCAGTGACAACATGACAGGAAATGCGGGGAGAAATGATGACGCTGCTATATCCAAGACTGACTCTGTTTTTGTCATGCAGTACTTCGCATGACTATAAAACTTCCCAATTAAACATGAGTTGAACTTCAACTTCTTTATCAGCTGAGAGATGCCTCAAAACATATAATCTGTGATAAGCTTTCTTGTTTTGGCAATCTCTAAAGCAACATTCACCTCTCTCGAATGTGGGTCAAAGTTTGGTAAATCTTTGCTGATCTGTAATATGATGAAACGTACGTGTGAGTAGTACATTTGCAACATGGAAGCAAATTCAGATCATTTAAAATTACCTAAAAAACCCCCACTCTATTGCACCAATTTCATATGCAGGTCTGGAGTATAGGTTTCTACCTTTCTGCCAAAACTCAAACAGAAAGGTGAAGCTAAGCTAAATCCTGTTTGCTTAGTTCTTCATATCAGCTGGCCCGGCTCTGCCAAGTGAGTCATTAAATAATATACTGTGTCTTTGTGCTTCTGGGAAAGATTTCTTGACTGTATCAGTAACTTCCTGGAGTGTTTTACACTGCGTTTTTGGTTAAAGCTGTGCTTACCCTGGTGTATTTTCTTCCCCTTTCTTTTAGCCTATGTAAGCATTATTTCCAAACAAACTATTCAGGCTTAACATTTCTAAAAATGTGGTAACAACAAATAAATCTTTTATGCAGCATCTTTGATCATGTGACACACCTGAAGCTTTTCAGTGGCACTACAGTCTAAAAACATAACAAGGAGATAAGGAACACAACTGCAACATCATAAATCTCACATAAGTCTGAGCCACATGTTTTAACAGTGGTTTTTTACACCACTGACCTGCAACAGGAAGCTATTTTAGCTTCTTTGTGAACATTGCACCAAATTCTGGATTTAAGCTGATGTCCCTGTTCATGAATGTTGATGGTTTCACACCTTAACTTTGGTTTCACATGAATGGATTCACCCTGGCCTTTTGATAAACTGGCAATTTTCCACTGTGGCCAAATTGTATAAGATGATAAGAAAACTGATGCATAGATACCATATTGCAGAAGTTTAAACGCTGCAAGTAGATCAAGACCAAACATTTGGTGTTAAAATAACTTCAGAACATGTACAGAAAACCACCCTTTCCCTCAAAAAGTTTAGAACAATTGATGTTTTTTAACACTTTTTTTAAACCTTTTTTTAAGCTTCTCTGCTTATAAACTAGAGGGTTTTAGTAGCAGCTACATTAAAAAAGTATCTTTTTGGTGGATTTCAGAAAATTAAAGTGTTTGAGAAAAATTGAGACACAAAGTTTGAGTTTAGCAGAGCTTCACGAGGTCTTTTTAAACTCTGCGTTTATTCATGATGAAGGTAGTTGTGTGTGGAAATAGACTTGCGCTTAATATTTACCATCTCTGCTCTTTGATTAAATCGCTGTCAAGCTCACGCAATCAGTGACTTAAAATAGTGTTAATGAAATAGTTATCATTTCACCGTTAATAGAGTGTTCTTACAGGTCTCTTTAAATTCAAAAGAATACGAAAGAATACGCCAGATTTTCAAAATTCCGATACACGCTGAATGCAACACTAAGGTGTAGCAGAAGTGAAAGAGAAAGCGCTACTCCAGTGTTTTAAACTACACTGGAGAGAGATATCCTATACTCAAATATTCCATAAATTAAATACTTTTATTGCCAAAGATCTTAGAAAACATCTTTAAGATATCTAAAATATCCCTTTTACCACTGAAGGTATGTTTGAATCTTTTGTTTTTGTGTACTTGTGTATTACATTTGAAAATAATTGTCAAGGCTCCCGGGGCGAGCCGTGTGGCGTTGGAGGGAGAAAGGACCCAAAATGCAGGGGACCCAAAACTGATGATACTAGTGACGTTTATTTACAAGGAGTGGAGTGACAGAACAGGCAGTGAGGTATAACGAATGACTGAAAAAACCTAGACTGGGAAAACTAAATGACAAACCTGAGATCATAAGAAACGGGATGCGGGGCAGAGAGACGCAGACAGAGGAACACAACACCATTGAACGCAGACGAACAGGTGTCGTGCCAAAGTAGGTATCCCCGACAGAATTTGTTTCCCCTGTGCTGGGAGCACGCACGAAGTACTGATGTTTTCATTTTGTGAAAAAGTGGAAAAATTTGTATTACCTGTTGTGTTACATTACCATTCAGTTTGAGGGTTACAACAGAAATTTATATATTTATTGCTCACGGGGTGGGATTATTTTAACAAACCATGAACATTTTGGCTGATAACTATTTATATTCTCCTGTAACTTTACTATATAAAGAGCTAAATCCTCCAAAGTTTCAGGAGTAATGCGTCATAATAAGAAGTGTTTGTGAACGAAAAATCAGCAATGTGGGATACTGTTTGTCCGTGAGTTACACAGGGGGAACAAATTGTGGCAGGATCAGCCTGATATTATTTGTATCCCACTATAACTTCGTTGTATAAAGAGCTAACATCTCAAAAATTTCAGGAGTAGTTAGTCATTATAAGAAGTGTTTGTAAACTAAAAATCAACAATGTGGGATACCGTTTGTCCGTGATTTGGACAGTCCAGCGTGTGCTCCCGACGCAGGGGAAACAAATTCTGTCGGGGATACCGGCAACAGGCAGTACAACACACAGGGCTTAAATACACACACCAGTAATCAGGGGATGAGAGACAGGAGGGAAACACAGCTGGGAGAAATCAGAGCTGACGGGACAGGGGAAACGTAAACTGAACACACTCACATCAGACGGAGACCTTCACAATAAAACAGGAAACTCACAGACACAGAACCAGACAAGACACAGAACTAA